TAGGAGCAGCATTACAAGTTTAGGATTTTAGGGTGGCTGAGGTAACTGCTACTAGAAGAACTATTCCCAGTTTCAGTAAAGTCTTCTGAGTGGACAGGGCCTTCTGTGCCAGAAATGCCTTCTCTGGCATTCCAGAGAGAGAGAGAGAGCGGAGGAAATGGTAGCTGCCCAGGAATGTGGCTATTGGCATCATGAGGTCAAGGGTGGGAGGTCAGAACACCTCTCCATCTCTGAATCCAGTGCCTGCTTCCTCTGTGAGGGTCATCTCCGAGGTTCTCCCTGCTCTGCACTGACATTGGTAGATAAAGTACACAGTGTGGTGGAGTCCGAGGTTCTCAAAATGTTTTCCTTGGGCCACTTCCATTGAACCAGCGGGAGTATCTGTTACAATCCAGATTTCTTTTGACCTGTATCATATGACTCAGAATATCTATGGGTGGGGCCTGGGAACTTCACTTCAAAGAGGTTTCTGTTGTTGTTGTTGTTTGGTACACAAATATTAGGAGCCATTGGCCTCTGAGTGTACTTAATGGAAAAAAGTTGATGTTTCCTTTATTTTTAAAAAATGTTTATTTTTTTTTTTTTGAGAGAGAGAGGCAGAGTGCAAGCAAGGGAGGGGCAGAGAGAGAGAGGGAGACACCACTTCTGAAGCAGGCTCCAGGCTCTGAGCTGTCAGCACAAAGCCCAACATGGGGCTCAAACTCACAAATGGTGAGATCCTGACCTGAGCGGAAGTTGGACGCTCAACCACCTGAGCTACCCAGGTGCCCCTAATGTCTCCTTTATTTTTATTATTTTGACTCCCACTGTGTGTAGTTAATCAGATACAGCTAAAATTGTTCTCTTTTGTGCCTAGGGGTCTGTAAGCATTTCACAAATGGTGAGTTTTCCAAGATATCCCTAACCATGTTCTTTTCTCCGTGCTTGCTTCTAAGTTTGGTCATGCTTTTCCATCTTTTCATGGCACTGCTTAGCTTTTAACATCCAGTACCATGACTTCTTCTGCATCAGCCATCCTGGTTGCTGTCAGGTAGCTCACCAAGGCTTCTAAATGCTGGGATATTTCTGCTACTCTTGCCTGAGAATTAACTGGGAATTAATTTGGCTGTACCTTTCAGTCTGGGAAACTTCTTGGTACTGCCCAGGATTACCTTTGTCAAGTCCGTGATCCTTAATGAAACTGCTGTACTGGATTAAGGATTTGGAGAATGTGGCATAAGAAAAATGGCCATAAACTATTTCAGAGGTGGAGTCTGTGTCCCTTCCCTTGAATTTGGACAGGCTTTGTCTTTCTCTCTAGGATGCCACGTGGCAAGGCATTCTGCCAAGCTGCTGAGCCAGAGTGAAAGCCACCATGGGCTTCCAGCTCAGCTCAGTCTCAGCTAAGGCCACAGAAGGACCCCGCCAGGCCTCATAGAACAGATGAACTGCTCCGCCAAGCCCTTCCTGAACTCCTAACCCACAAAATCATGAGAGATGATAAAAAGGTTATTTTTTAATTTTAATTTTTAATTTTTTTATTTATTGTTTTTTAAAAAAGCTTTATTGTTTGGAAGCCACAAAATTTTGTGGAGGCTTGTTATGTGGGAATAGATAATTAGATGTGTGTGGTTGTTGAGGTGGGTAACCCTGTTGCTAAACTAACTTATTCTTAACGTGGGGTTTGTGTTGTTATACCTGGAGGAAGTAAATTAGAAAACCAGTGGCAGTATTGGTAACAATAACTTAATACAGTAAAATGCCTACACAATACTCACCAGAACATAAATTATGTACCAGCTACGTAAAACATATGCTTGACCTAATGAACTCAGAACAATTTAAGGATTTTTCTTTGTTTATAAAACAGTGTACTTCCCAGTATTTACGAGAGAAATGGATATAAATTGAGCTGAATATAGAATATAGGAAACAGGCACTAAGAAATTAAACCAGCTGCTTAAATGTTCACCAGAGCGTGTGTTAGTAACATGTTCATACGTAAACTAGATCCCATAGACCTGTGTCTTTCAAACTTCTTTGATTGCAATTCACATTAAGAAACATCCTACTTGGACCTTGTACACATGTAACCTCTGGAGCAAACTTCATGAAATACTGCTTACCTTTATAAGATATATTATTATATGTTATATAATAATATATAATGCACTCTAATATATTCTCTTTTCTTTTAAAAATGCTGGCCAAACATACTACATAAGTTTCAGGACCCATTACTAGGTTACACACCACAGTATGAACAACAGTGATCTAGATTTGATCTTTGTGAGACCAGGCATTGTGGCTTTTTCACCACTGTGTACACAGATGCTTAAAAATTTCTGTTCTATAGAAGGTACTTAAGCATTTAATGAATGAATGAATTTCATGACTTTAGTTCCAATTTATTAAAATGGGTAAGATTAGTCACAAGTCAGGAAACCCAGAGTCAATTCTTGAATCACTGTATATCTTTAAGAAATACCTTCTGTATTTTCTCACCTGTGAAATGGAACTTAGATATGTAGTACTCATGGGATAAAATAAGCCCACAAATAAAACTATTTTGAATAAAAGATAATGAATTACAAGTAACAGATCAATGTATTTGTTACTTCTGCACTTTGAAATGCCTAGAGTTATCACATGAATACTTCTTCACCTTATCATTTTAATACCACTTCATTAACATGGATTAGAGAAAAACTAAAAAAATGAAGTCTTTTTAAAGAAAAAAAATTTTCACTTAAAATTTCATTGAGTAACAAAATAGTTCTAAAATGTTGGGCTGGGTAGATGCTTACTTCGAAGTATTTAATTGGGTCACTTGCAGATTAGCATTCTCAGTGAAAGCTTAAAAGACATTGTTTTTGTGTAAGTGGATATTTCTGAAATTCTGAAGAGAAACTTGGTTGGGTAAAGTGGCCTTGTTATTCCTTCAGGAATTTATTAATTCCTTGTATGTATATTAGAAAATGCTGCCATTTCAAAATTACTGAGGTTTGTATGTATAAATATCTGTGGAAGACTGAGGGGCTTTGTTAAATTGTTTGAATAACAACCAGGAAATCTGAGCTCTGAGGGCAGGATGACTTTTGCTGGAAGTCAGTCTTGATGCACCGCCGTGGGTCGCTTTCCTATTGTGATCCCTGTGAAGCCAACCCCGTGCCTGACTTTCTGGGAACTTCCCCAGCTCACACCCTGACTGAAGCGGCACTGTACAGTTGCTGGATGCACTGCCTTTGTAATCAGACAAACAGACTCTAAATTCTGGTTCTGCCGCTTTCAATATGTGGGACCCTTGATGTCAGGGAATTGCGCGCATTAAATAAGATACAGCAGGCTCACACACCTGTATGAATCTTTAGCATGATGCCTAGCAGATAGAAAATAATAAATGATAGTTCCATTGGCTCTTCTTACCATTGTTGTTTTTATCTGCTACTGCCAGTTCTTCCTTGTCTGGTCTAGCTAGCGGCTACAGTTGGGCTCTAGAAAGGAGACGTGCCTGCTCAAGAAATAAGCAGATTTCTCCGAGGTCCAAGGAATATGATTTCACAAGTTTTACCATGTCCTGGCACTCAACCATGGTGACACCTGGAAACTGAGCTGAAAGACGAGAATATCCGTGTCTCCAGCGAGGAGTGGCATATCCAGAGCATCCCTGAATGTGTGTTGTCAGCCGGCTGCCTTCCCTTTGTTTGCTGGGGGAAGGGCAGCCCTGTTAAATGTTACACTTTGCTGCAGAAACTGGGGCACTAATGTGATTGCTCACTCTGTGATGCTGAGCTATTTTGAAGCATCCTTTCTGATCGACTCGAGGCAGAATGGTGAGGCAGTCATTTGTCTCTGTCACTCCAGTCTTCCTTCCCTCTCTTGTGGCTCCGTTCCTCCGCCCCTCTCATCCTTCCTTCAGTGCATTTCTCCTGCTTCAAACCACAGATAAGCTGAAAATGGCTTAAAAGCTTGCCCCCTTTAGGTATACTGAGAATTAAATGAGCCGCTCCCTAAGTATCGTGTTTCAGATATTCGCAGGCCAGTCAGAGACCTAGTGGTGGCCTGGGCCATTCCTCTGCTACCCTTCAGCTGGTATGCAGCTGAAAAGCACTGTGTTGTTGCAGTCTGAGGAAGATACATTCCAGCATTTTTTGAGGTGTGTTCCATGGCATATTAGCTGCTTTAACTGTGGTTGAATACTTTTAAGAAATTGTAAATAACCAAGTTAAACAGATTGCCTCGCTCTAGGGATTCTTAAAACTAACATACTCATGGTACAAGTGGTACTTTGATACTAAGAGGGTATTTAGGATGAACCATTTTCCGTCTTTTTTGCTTATCTTCCCTTTTAAATTTTTCATGAATCACCTTTATAATCTGTATTTCATAGGACATACTTTGCAGAGCACCAATCTGGGCCAGTGAGTATAGTCAAGTCACAGATAGTACAGTGATGTGTTGAGCATTACTTATTGAATTGACTGCAGAGTCAGGACTAGCTAGTAGGTGCTCTGACTCCACAACATGGTCAGAAATCCTAAGTGCGGGGGCACCTGGGTGGCTCAGCAGGTTAAGCATCTGACTTCGGCTCAGGTCATGATCTCACAGTTTGTGAGTTAAAGCTCTGCACTAGGCTCTTTGCTGACAGCCCAGAGCCTGGGGCCAGCTTCAGATTCTGTGTCTCCTTCTCTCTCTGTCCTTCCCCTGCTTTCTCTCTCTCTCTCAAAAATAAATAAACATTAAAAAAAATCCCAAGTGCAGTTATGGGTTTAATGTCTGTGTTCCCTGTTAGACTGTATCAAAACAGGAGCCTTGCCTTTCACTCACCTCTGTATCCCTAGCACCTAGCGCCAGTACCTGACACACAGTGGTTGAACCAGCACTTATTAAATAAATTGAGGTTGTTCATGGGGCATGGACATGGGTTGTCCTTGCCTATCCATGTTCATTGCTTCCCCTCTGAGCCTGCTCCCCACTACAGTGCTATTCATGGAAGGGTCACTGCCAAGTTCCATACTTACACTGAGAATATGTGGTCCCCGTTCCGCTGACACTGAACCTGTTGAGGTGCAGCCTGTGTGTGACCACATTCTTTTGGGGTTGGAACAGGATGATGTGCACCTTGGGTGCAAACAAACAGCCCAGGACCACAAAGCCACTCAGGCTAACGGAGATGCACATGGTGGTTGTCTGCACCTACAAGAAAAGGTTGCCTGGTTAAATGTCTGGCTGTAGATGCAACCATGTCACCTACTAAAAAGAACACTGAGCAAAGACCAAACTCAGAAAACCCACATCATCCACAGTTCTGTTGTTAGTACAATCAAACCAATAGAATGATTCAATGGGATTCTCGGGGCTTGGGATGTTCATGGAAACATTGCTTAAGATCTGTAAGCAAACACATTTGTGTTAGGTGCTCCTGAATGCTTGCCAAGACTTTACATGGGGTTTCTTGTTCTGTTTGTTTTTCCTTTTTATTTGTAGAAAGACATTTCTGCAGAACCACCTAAGTCAGGATCTTAAATAGTAAAATATGAACATTCACTGATGAAGTGACCAGACTGCTGACGGTTTCAGTCATTCAACTTGACTTGTTTAAGGTTTACTGTGTCATAAACAAATCTAGGAGCCTTTTACATTTTTCCATCTTTTTCTTTTTCTTTCTTTCTTTTTTTTTTTTTTGCTGGGAATTCTGCCCATCAGCTATTGGTTCTCCCACTCAAAATTGTGAGTCATGGTCAACTATCTTGTGAGGAACCTGTAAGTTATTTCATTGGCAGTCCTCTGAAGTTTTGATACATCAGGTACTCCCTATTCAGTCATTTTGTTCTCTAGGCTTACATATGCCTGTTCTTGGCAGAGAAATTGCACCTGCTTCCTCTTTGCCTCCCGTGAAATTACCCCTCAGAGCTAGGTATTATCGTGTCTCCTTTTTGTTCTTTTGCTTTCACTTTTTATCTTCACTGATCTCATCATCTGTTCTAACTTCAGCTCCCTCAGATTTTCTGGAAAATTCTAAATTAGCCTCTACATATTTTATTGCTTTCCGTACTAAAAAATGGAAATTAATTATTTCTTCTGTCAGTTTCTACTCCGAGTAGCCATGGTAAATCCTAGGGTAATTTTAGATTTCTTTGTCTTTCTGCTCCAGGCAATTCTATTACCAGATAGAATAATCTGTAATGCCCTCAAGTGTCTGACCTTCTTCTCCAATCAAAGAAAACAGAAGACTGAACAATTAACTAGAGAAGCCACATAACTTTAGAAGGCTATGTTCTATGTTTGCCAAAAAAAAAAAAAAAAAAATCAGGTTATACCTGCAGCATTATTCTTCAGACTCTGGATTTACTGTGTATGCTGAAAGCACAATCTATCCAATTTTTTATACATTTTTAAATGTTTTTATTTATTTCTGAGAGAGAGAGACAGAGAGCGAGAGACAGGATGAGCAGGGGAGGGTCAAAGAGAGAGGGAGACACAGAATCCAAAAACAAGCTCCATGCTCTGAGCTAGCTGTCAGCACAGAGCCCGACATGGGGCTCAAACCCATGAACCTTGAGATCATGACCTGAGCCAAAGCTGGAGGCTTAACCGACTGAGCCACCCAGGTGCCCCGAATCTATTCTATTTTAAAGCTGCTGTCACTTTTAGCTGTTCCAGGGCCCTCCAACCTGACCCCACACTGCAGGCTCCATTCCCTTTTCCCCACTTCTCAGAAAAGAGTCCACTCACTAACTCTGTGATGTAAAAGCCTTGATAAATCATTACTGTGTTATTTATAGCAAGTCCAATTTCTGGCATAATTTGTGTGTGTGTGTGTGTGTGTGTGTGTGTGTGTGAATCGATGTTTAATACTAGAACTGAACTCTTCCTTTAGAACTATATACTCTTCCATCTTCACTTTTGACTGGGGAACCAGTCTGAGAGGTACCAGATACTAGAGTGAAGGTAGGAAAAGTTCAAATGTACCATCTTTCAAGGAAACCTTTTAAACTAATATCCTATAACATTGAAGCTTTTCACACACTTTAAGCCATTATAGGGGGAGGAAAGGCTTTCATGCAGATGACATCTTGAAAAAAAAAAAAAAAGCTGTACTGTGAGTTCTAGACCTTTCCTCCCTGAAGGAAAGTTGTGTGTTTCTCCTCACTTCAGGCCTGGAGAGGAGTGCTTTGATGTGGCTTATTCACAGAAGGTTTGAGGGTTTCCTGCATGAGAAAGAGGCCCTGGCTTGAAGTCTGATTCCTGTCTTGGAAGTCTAGGAGGTGAGAGAAGGTTAATTACTTTCATGGCAGAGTACAAAGACTTGCTACTGTATTGAGACAGTCCTTTGCTATAAGAATTCATCAAAGCAAAGGATAGGTGAGTGCCATGCATGGACCAGATGGCCCACGTGGGTAGTCTCGGGTTCACGCGCAGCAGCCTGAGTCCTTCCTGGAAAGAGGCTGGTGGCCAGGTACAGTTGGGTGCCCTGAGACTGGGCACGGAGCCACAAGGGACAAGTCAGAATAGGACTTGCCAGCCAACTCACTCAAGGACCAGCAAGAGGAGAAAAACAGCCGGATATTTCTGAAGATGGCATGAAAACACCCTTAATCATCTTGCAGGTATCCCAAGGATGTGTCTTTAACAAACACTGCGGAGATCCTTAAAACCAACCAGTTACATAAGAAGTGTCCTGCTTCTTCCTTATTACTCTCTGATCAGGGCTGAGAGGGAAACAGCCACTGGTGAAATGTGGAACGTGAATCAGAAGAAAAGAAACGTTAAGTGCTGTAGACTGTCTGCCCCAAGCAGGCCAGACTTCAGGAGAACATGAGATGTAATGTTAAGTCAAGGTATGGTTTTGATAATTCTACAGGATGAGGCATTTTAATAGAGGCTATTTTCCATTGAAAATGATTGTAGGACCATAATGTTACCTAAGAGCACACACATCCATGGGCCAACCAAGTTCATGAGCGTTTTCATTCATTGCTCTATCCCCAGCACTAGAGGGCCTCACATATGAAGAGCACTTAGTATTTGAATGATTTCACTGGGATTTCCGTGCAGGGGTGGGTGATTATTACTCTCACTAAATACTAACAGGGCACATGGGCACCAGAACTAAAGATGCATTTTGATCATAGTTTATGTAGCATATAATTTATTTGTTTTAATTTGAAACCTTTTAGCTTTTTATAAAGTCAGAGTAGTAGCCTCATAAATTCAATTGTCCAGTTCCTTTAAGAAGTCACACTACTAATGGGGCCTCTGGGTGGCTCAGTCAGTTAAGTGTCCAATTTTGGCTGAGGTCATGATCTCAAGGTTCATGAGTTCGAGTCCACCTTGGGACTCAGCTCAGAGCCTGGAGCCTGGTTTGGATTCTGTGTCTCCCTCTTTCTCTCAGCCCCTCCCCCACTCTTGCTCTGTCTCTCTCTCTCTCTCTCTCTCAAAAAGAAAACTACATTTTAAAAAATTTAATATATTACTAAAAGTCTGTATTTATAATTCTTTGTTCTTCCTTTTTGTACACTATTAGTCCATGCTGCTCTGTTTTCATCTTCCTCAAACTTCCAGCAACAATGGACATGGTTAATTACTTCCTACTTTTTGGCTTCCTAGATATTCTTCCCTCACTGAAAGTCCCTTGTCTTAGTTTTTTGTTGTTCTTGTTGGCTTTTTTGCTTCTACCTTAATTTTAAGTGTTGGAGTGTCTCAGACCTCAGTTTAGATTCTCTTTACTTTATCTCGTTGAGTTCCATGACTTAAGTACCTCCTATGTTGATGTTGTTCAAGTATTTATTACTAGTTTCAGCCTATCTTCCGGGCTTTGGGACATATATTCACCTGCTGTCTTGGCATGTTGTATTGGATATTTAGTAGGCATAGTGGGATTAATATGTAAAACTTGATGTTCTCCCCCAGGTACTTGAGTACATGACATAAAATCCCACCCACTGTGAAAGCCAAAAACATGGGAGTCATCCTTGATTTATGCCTTTCTCTTACACCCACATATCCAGTCAATAGCAAGTTCTGTTTGTTCTTTTAGAAGATAGTTTTCTATGGTCTATTGTGCTTCTAGCCTGTCTTTCAAGCACAGGCACTGACTGCCTTTGTTCTGGACCGTCTTTCCAGGAATATTTGTATAGTAAAGAGACTTAGAAGATGGAGATAGTGCCTACTTTTGGAGCAAAAAGCCAGCATATCTTCCATTACAAAGGGTTCTAGTTCCCTAACCTCACATAGTCTCCCCTGTAACGCTGCCAGTGACCATGCTGTGGTGACATGGGCCACTTTGCCTGGCCCAGCGGAAGTGGAGTTCAGGGAACCAGGGCCTATGCTGAGTCTCTGGCTACCACTATTGCTTTGAGTCATAAACTTCTTTGGTCAGCATCAATGAAACTGCGGCAAGTTAATATGTTACCTTATAAGTAGAGTCAAATCTCAGATGCTACAGTCTTTGACAGTTTTGGCAATGGGATGAGCTTGGCTTCCTCACAGAGGAAGTGTGAGGACTTTGTGGACTGAAGAGAACTCCATGGGAATCAGTAGCAAGCATGTTGACCAAATTCTATGGCCAACGGGGCAATAAATAGTGACCCACATTTTTCCCTAGTAATGAATGATGTGGATTTGGAGTGGGGTTTATAGGCTGAGTAACAGGAAGTAGGTTCAGACAGCACTGCTGGACCAGTGCTGTAGTTGTTGCTAACTCCTCTAGGGAGGGGGCTGGATTTCCTCCCTGATCTGGTTCAGGTCCTGGGTGGACAGAAACTTTAACTCCTTCTCACAAAAAGGTTGCAAAGACATACACCCATACTGAACATGAAAGGAGGGACCTTCAGAGAAGGCAGCTGCCAGGTGAATCACCTGCACTGTGGCTGATTCTCCTGGGAGCTGAGGGGGCTGGGTGCATAAACGCTTGCGCTAGAGCAATGACAGAGCTGGGCCCTCGCAGGGCTCATCCTTCGCTGTGGTTTCTCTTGACAGACTTAGATCCATTCCAACAGGACAAAGTCCCCTCAGTTTTTTGCGGTACAACCTGGTAGCAAAAAAGGAAATTTGCGTCTCTCTGCAGGATTCCCCTGAAACAGAAAAATGCTCTGGAAAACCATAAGTGACACACTGAGTAGTATTTGGGCTCTTACTGACTTGGATTGGGTGTAAAATGCTGACAAAGGGGTTGTACTAAAGAATGAGGAACT